ATTAAGTGATGGAGTTGTTAAGTGAGACATCATGCGACCACAATAGCCTCACTCTGGCTACAGTTAAGCGAGACATTATTTGACTACAACTTGGGATTTTACTGCTGATAGATGAACACTTAAGGCTGATTTACATCGAATTTGGGGGAGTTGGTTTTCAGAAAATTCTTTAATGACCGCTCCTATACCAGCGTGCGAAATAATTGCCATTTAGAAGAAAAAACACGGTAGGGCGCGTTTGCTCAGTAATCCGTAGACCGGGTTGTATGTTTAATTCTGAATAAAAGCACCTTAAAGAATACATGAAAGGAGCGTGCAGAAAAGCATAAAGAAACGCAAACCCGCCCGCTCCCAACACCAAGCGGAACTAGAGAGCCCCTGACCCAAATCAGCGAAGGAAGGCGAGCCGCTTTTGCGTACGGAATTAGCAGAGAACGCGCCGGAAGTAGCCGGGAGCATTTCCGGAAGCCCTATAGTTTTTTTTTTATTTTTAAAAAACGTGGTTGGGGAGGTTTGTCGGATGATGTCTGCTGCTGGTGCTGTTGAGTCGGAGGAGCCCAGCAGAGGCAGCGGGCTCTTTGCCGGCTTCCGCGTGCTCGGCCTCCAGTGCAATCACCTGGCGCACGTGCTGCGCTACCACCGACGCCACCGCGAGTTCTACCTGGCCGCCGCGGTGGGGAAGAGTTTCCACACTTACAACGTGAGTCGGCTTTGCTCCTGTGCGTAGATTCAACCCCCCCCCCCACACACACACAACACGTTGACCACCGTCGTGGCTCTGCTCATTTATTTTCCTTCCAGGAGTCGTCACGTTATATATGTTGTCATATGGTGTACGTGGCTATTGTCATGTTTTATGTAGCGTTTGTTGGAGGTGGTGACCCTTTGAGAGCTGTATGCAACGAAATTTCATTTTAATGTATGTCAATTAATGTACATTTAAAGTGACAAAAAAAGTTAGTCTAAGTCTATAAGTTTATGGTCTCTTTTAATGAAGCAGGAACATACTACCTGCATCTAAGAAAGAATATGTAACTGCCTGGACTCACAGATGACGCCACCTCCTGCCTTTAGATGTTCTGAGCCATGTGGAGCTGGTCAAGCTGCTTTGATTAACAGTCATGCAGATGTTTAATAAATCTGGAGCCTGTATCAGAAGAATCACTGTTTATTTAATATTGCTAAGCACAGCAGAAAAATAATCTCATGAGTGCTTCTACTTCATTTCCCGGCTAATGAATCTGCTGAAAGGCTCACAGGCCTTTAGACCCAACAGATCCTAGCTGTGGCTTATTTCCATGTTACCCATGAGGATAATATCCTGATTTCAACTTGCCAGGGCCCAAGCTTTATACCATAAGATGACCAGACAATAGTGCCCACTTGTGGCATCCACTAGTGCCTTCATGGCACTGTACCTGCATACCATTCACCTGTGATTCCAGCTTGTTCCCACTTAACAACCCCTGCAGTTCTGGCTTAGAGCATTAATCAGGACTTTTGGGATTGCCATTGCTAACAAATGTGGTCACAGGATATCACACTTTATGACTGCATCACTTAGTGACAGAAAATTCAGATTCAATTGCAACCATAACCCAAATTTCCTTATTTTAGAAATCTTTTGGGCATGGTTTATATTCTCCAGAACTAGTTTGATATACATTTCTGGAAATGCAAGCAATTGTAATGGGTGTTAATTATATTTAACACATTTAACAATGATATTCATTTCATTCCGAAATGAAACTTTAATTAGGATTCCAAATAGCAACTTTATGTTTCTTGTTCTCAGATCAAAATGAATTTATTTGCCATTGAATGAAAAAAAATGAAAAAAGTTTTAATGAAAAAATTTGAAAAAAAATCAAGAGAGGGCCATAATCAAAATTAGTAATGTCCCACAAGAACAAAAAGCATCTAGAATTAGTAATTCAATTACATGAACTCATTTACAGATTGCATATCAAATATTAAAACACAAATTGCAGTGTGATTTATTGCCAAATCCCCACCCCCAAATGGAAATGCTTCAGTGTTCTGTTTTTTATTCTTTCTATAGTTTTAGATTATTAAAAACGTGCACATTGTGATGTTTTATAAATTGTTTCTGAATTTCAAGATATTTTATATTTCTATCAAATTACTAAAGTATATTAATTTTTCAGGTGAAGAAGTTGGGGATAGTTGCTGTTAGTAAGTATAATATAATACAAATATGCTTAAATGTGCAACTTTAAAACATTTTCTCTCTAAAAAGTGAAAGTGGCTTTTAATACTACTGTTATGTTGAAGAACCTCTACAAAATGTTACACAAAAGAAATCTTTCTGTAATCTAAATTAGTATTTTTTTCTAAATAGCTTGATCTTTGTAGTATGTAATTTTCATTAATGATCTCTATATTATAACTTCCCCTTAAAAGTATAGCTATTTTAATATCATATAAACACATTAATGACCAACATTGCAGCATATCAGTATTGTTGAATCCCAGGACAATTTCTATAATACCTACACACATTGAATTTTATAAAATTTCTATCAAGTTTTTAATGTTTGGTCAGATCCTTGATGGTTTTGATAATATAGCTAGCAGACACATTTTTCATGTGGAGGCCATAGGCCAAAAACAGAATCTGCGCATATATAAGAGAATATTTGGAAAGTAGGCAGAGCTCAGGCTGGGATTCTGACTAGCCATTAGTCTGATCATATTTTTTTGTTTGTAATTTTACTGTGACTTAAAGGATGTCTATTGTGCATATGCTTAGTTGATTGAGGTGTATTCCATCCTTTACTCCATCCTTAATGAAATGGGCATTGCTAGCCAAGTGGATCATTCCATATATCTCTGACCATGTCCCTGCCACATTGTTCTGAAAAATTAGCAGGCTTTTTGGAGTTATTTTTGGATAATATAATTATTCTATTGTATGATTAGAAGTATATCATAATGTTGAACTTTTGGATAGCAAGATGGGTAGCATATACATCTAATGATTAAAATGATAAAATTATGCAATAATAATTTAGCTATCTTCATGTATTTATATAACTTTTAAATCTGACAATCAGTTCATTTTCGATTGTGGTGTATTTTCTACTTATTGGCAATGCCAGACTTTGAAAAGTTACACTGCTGCCTTAAAAATTAAGATGGAGTAAACGGCACTGAAGACAGTGGTTTCCCCAAATCAATATGTGTTGGATTATACTGCTATTCTATGGAGTTTAACAAAACAAGTAAATGGGGTGCTCCTTTTCCAGATAACTAATGCAACCTTTAGTAATTAATCTGTTTTAATTCTATGTATAGTTTTATATGTGTATGTGTATGTATGTGTGTGTGTTTGTGTGTGTGTATGCCATAGAAACAATGTATATAGTTTGCAATGTTGAGAAAATCATAATTATATCATAAAGTGTTTCCTGGTAATATCTACTTGAAAACCAATTATTTGTTTTGGTTTGTTCTATGATTCTTTTAGGCAATGCCTTGCCACAAAATATTACATGTTTGGCAGCTGATCGAATGCTGGTCTTTGCATCATGTGGTGCACTTTTGTATGCTTTTGCTCGCAACAAAGAGGTTTGTACTGCTGTCAAAGAATATGCAGTGATTTGTACCTTACACTAAATTTAATGACTGTAAAACCTCAATTTAGAGAAATTCTATTTTATGAGATGTCAGATGCATTGAACAAACTGTGCATCTAGATATTTTACCAAAATATAGAATGAGTCCATTATATCTGAAGTGATATAAATCTTAAATTTATTTTATTTATTTCATTTGCAAGATAATGTAATTATATAAATGATATCATGCCATTTGCATCATTATACAAAAAAGCATAAATTTGGATTCTGTGGATAGTCAGGAGTAGTGGGGATATGTGTCTCCCCAAATGGTCCTTTAATTTGAGGGTTTACAGTATTTATATTTAACATAGAGGTATTGAAAATATTTGAATTTAGATTACTTAATATGTGAAGAATTATGCTGCAGGGCCAAATAAGGTACTTCAAAATATACTTTAAAATAAATTCAGCTGAAATTAATTGGATATATTTAAGAAAACATTATTGAACTCTTGCTTTAAAACTATAAAATAGGTATTTAAACATTGCTTTTATATCAAAGCTAGAATATGTTAATTTAAATAACATCAATTGAAGAATGATGTGTTCATGTATATTCTTAGTAATATTAAAAGATAATATTACACTTTGTGTCCCTTTGAAAAGAAAGGGTGGAGGAAAGGTTCAAGAAAATTGTCAGCAGTTTTGATAAACCAAATCTTTATCAAAATATTTTGTACAAAAGAAGTAAGGATAGTGTGAAGTATAGATGCATATGAATAGAATGGATATGTAACTTGGTCTTCCTACTACTAGACAGGAAAATGCCAGGAAGGTACAATAACAGCTGGAAAAGGTCACTATTGTTTAGAATATAACTTAGGAGACTTAAGGACCAGCAACCATTTCAAATACATTTCACCGTGTTTGAAACAATTTCATTTTTTGTAGGAATTCACAACTATGCTTCCCTAGAAAAGGCATTCTTTTAAAAATATTATCTAAATCTGGAGGAGTGCTGAAGTATTTCTCTGGTCTCACATGAAGGCCAGGGCATCAGAAGGACATCTACTTTTAAAAATGTTCAGTATGACATCATAGAGATTTACAGCTAACAATTGAATGGAAGAATGATGATTTGTTTCACTATTTGACAATAGACTGCCCGTATAATCAAGGTCTGGTTTGTTTTTGCTTAGGAAAAGAGCCTAAATTCATACTTTGATTTATCTTTTGAATACTGTAAAAAATATTTAAATCTATGGAATTAAAATTTTATGTGAGACATTAGGGCTTTTAAAAACAGTCTGATATATTTAACACATACTTATTGTCCAAATATAATGCATTGTTTTATTGAAGTAACTGCAGTACTTTGAATTTTAGGTGGTTCACACTTACTCAGGTCACCGGACAGATATACTTTTTATATTGCCATTTGGAGATCATGTTATCTCTGTGGATAATGAGAGCATTCTTATTATTTGGGATGTGCAGTCAGAAGGTAAGATTAGTCTGTTTAATGTAATAACTACTGGGAAAAAAAGTAAAAAAATGGATATTTGTGCTGGACATGGACTAATGATGTTCTTTGTTCTGCAGAAGAATACTTGCAGCTGGATTTTGATAAGACTGTATTTGCCATTTCTGCAGTTTTACACCCACATACTTACATGAATAAAATACTTCTTGGTAGTGAACAAGGACCTTTACAATTGTGGAATGTAAAATCCAAGTAAGAACTATTCTCTCCAGAGACTTAAATTGTGTGTTAATACTTAGCTCTTAAATTTTAAAATATGGAACTGAATGAGTACAGAGGCCTAGTGGAGTTAAAGGAAATTGAATAGTATTAGAAACTAAACAAGATCATTTCTTACTATAACAAGGATGGGGGCACCTTCTAGAAATTCTAGGGGCATTGACTCCCTAGAATTTAAAAAAAAAAATCCCCAAAGAAGGCTGCAGCAAATTCTTCCATGAAGCTATTGAGGAAGTTTTAGGAATGCAGTTGCCAACACCCCTTCAACAACTTTTTAAAATGTCTTTATAAACAGAAGCTTAAAGGATATTTAATTTAAAAAGTCATATTGAAATGGTATAATACTCCTACATTTTTATTTTGCTTCAGAGTGGTTGGGTTGTTTTCTTCCTTGATGTTATTTGCTCTTTGAAAGACGTATTCTTCCAATTACTTTGGAAGTGCTATAATAGATATATGGGATAAATATATTTTTCCTTAACTCAGCTCATCCTGAGAGAAGGGCTGCCGGCTTTTTAACTTAAAAGGAGCAGCAGTATTGTTCACCATTTTCTTTGAAACTATTAGCAATCTTTTTGTTTCTTGTTCTCAGGCTCCAAGAAATTATAGCTAATTTTCCCCAATGCCACCTTTAAGCAATAAATATTCTGTTATAAGTGTCTTATATATTTAGCTGGCTTCTAGCAACCCCTTTTTATCATAGGAAGCATCCTGGACAAGTGAAAATTGGATAGTTTGATTTTTTTTAACAAAAATGTGCTTTATTTAAGCTTTTAGGAATATTTATTTATTAAATTTATATGTTGCCCATTTCAATATCAAGCGACTCTAATTTCTAATTTCCACCAGAGAATTGATTGATGTTTCCTATTTTGTGGGGAATCAAGGGATAAAACAGGTATCAAGGTGTATGAAACCTATTTTAACCTTAAGCCCCATTCTCATCTCAGTCTGAAAACCCCTGACCACTTTGGTAATATTATTACATGCCAGGCCCCTTTAGATACATATTTTTAAAGGGCAATACTCAACAATCAGCCCTCCCATTTCGGTGGATTTTTCAGTGGATTAAAGAAACATGTTTTAAAAAATACTTTCCTACTCTGTCATACAACACATGGTACAATTTGTCTTTAATGTGACTGGTGAAAAAAATTCTAATCTGTTGTTGCTAATTCTGTGGACAGTTTATTTTTGTTTCTCACCTTCTATTTTTTCATGATAAGTGTTATTCTGAAATAGGTAGCTCACTTCCTTTTTAAAAAAATTAATACCAAATTTTTGTTTCCCTTCTAAGGAAAGGTCTCTGATTAAAGCTTAGATACTTTGGTAATCCCTGGATAGTTAAAAGTTTCAGGACTATCTTTTTTCCTGTTGGTTAGTATACCTGAAGGAATGCTTTCAAGAAAGGTTTTTGACATAACTGAAACAAAATGAATAAAGTTGGCAACACTGCAAGGGAAATACTACCCCTGGACCCAGCCCGAGTCATTTCCAAGTTGCAATGATGATCTAAGAGAAGTTTTTTGAGGAGCGGGAGAATAAAACTTTTTGGGAAGAGTAAAAATGCAATTCTTCTATTGTATGAACACACCCCAGGAGATGTGTCTTAGTAGTAATTTAAATGGAAGGTAATTTCATTTCACACGATTAAGTATTCATGGGGTATTCATTGTATAACTTTTCATCCTCTGGTGTTTATAAACTGAGTAAAAAATGTCCTTTACTTAAAATTATTTTGGATAGGATTGTGAGTATTTTTTGGTCATTGAGTAATTCTTAATCTTTTCCTTTCCTCAGCAAACTTTTATATACATTTCCAGGATGGGGTGCAGGAGTGACAGTCCTTGAACAGGTAATAGGCTTATAAAAATGGTCATGTAACTCTTTATGTTACATTCTGTTCATTGATAGTATTTCAGAATGCTTTAGAAACTGTTGACTTGGTCAGGTCTATTCCACCAAGTGTGGAATAGACCTGAATAACACCAAGTGTTATTTCTTCAAATAACACTTACACATACATAGTAAAGCCTCAATTTTTCTGAATAATTTGCAGAGGTGTCCATTACAACTGAATGTCAGCGAGAATTTACATGTACTTCATTTGCCTACATTTATTTTATGTGTGTAATTACTGGATGTAATGGATGTATTTTTATAATTTTCATAACTTGACATAAATAAAACTATGTTAGCTGCCTTGGTGCTTTGAAAACATTGAGCCTTTCCTTTAACTTAGAATTGAACTCCAAATAAAGTTTCGTTAATTTCTAAAGCTGATCAATAACAGGAATCATAAATTCCAAGTGTTACTACAGCTTTTGCAGAATTCTGACTGTTTGAAATAAATAAATTACAGGTTGTACCTGTACTTTACTTATGCAGAATTATGGCTTAGTTTGCCCTCAAAAATAATAATTGAAGGGAATTTTGTTTTTATATAAAAAGTGTGTGCCAATGAAAATGTGCATAGTAAATAAAATCTATGTCAGAAATTAATTTCTGAACATAAATTCAAGGATAATAACTTGAGGACAACTTGTATTTGAATTATAGGATTGGATTATAGGATTTGGAATGGCATTATTAAGTTGGGATCCAAAATTAAATTAAGTATCATTGTAATCAAGATTATAGTATAGACAATTAGCAGAAGTATTCTGTGAAGCTTGCTATTCTAATCATAAAACATTTATTTGGAAAATAAAGGTAGGTATTCCTAGTAGCATGCAGATAGGTTTCCTATGTAAAGTTTTAATTAATTTTAGTTAATTTTCTTTAACTTGCTGCTTCTATTTTTGTTTGACCATAGTTCTCATAATTTCCCATTAATATATATATTTGGGAAACGTAATCTAAGATAAAAACATAAGACCACTTTTGGATCAGGTCATGGCCTCTAGTCAGGATTGTCAGACACACACTGACATATTGGATGCATTTGGAAAACTCACAAACTTGTCCTGGCAAGAAATAACCGCTTCAGTTTTAGCTTCCCAATAACCAAAAAGTTGCTATGATTTAGGGGTAGAAAAAAACCCAATATTAGTAGCTTATGTTAGCTGACTTCTGTGCTGTTGCCTTTTAACCAACCAAAATGACTGTCATTACTGTACACCACATCTGTTAGCATTCCATATGCTTCTCTTAGCAATAGTAGATGAGAAGTTTCTTCTTGATGGTTTACATACAGCTAGGATTAGACTTATTTTATGATAGGATTTCTTTAGAACTAAATCTCATTCTATTTTTCGTAAACATGTATATGAGCATCAGGTTTTTTTAAAAAAAATAGAGCAAAATAGTCAGAATAGAATAGCCATAGAAAAGACTGGAGGAGTCAACAGGTCTAGGAAAAAATTCTACTAGAATCATACTTCCTGGAGACCGCTTCTGAACTTCGTGCTTGTAGTGGAAAAGAATGAAACTTTGATTTTGGGTTTTACCAAGTAGATTGATAGGTCTTTACAGAAATGGCTGGTTCATATTATTATGAAAAAGCAAAAAGTTGTGATTTGATGTTAATGCCGTATTTTACTGCAACAGAGTGTGTCGGAAGTCAATGCTTCTTTTTCTTTTTTCTTATCCTTCCTCACTTCTCTTCCCCCTTTTCCTCCCCACTGTTTTTCTATTTACTTTCGTATTTTATAATATTTTATAACTCAATAAAAATGTTAAACTAGAGTCATATTTCCAATGCTTTCAACGCGGTGTATATATATAATATTTCAAAATTAAAAAAAATTCTTACGCATACTAATTTTCTTTGCAGGCACCAGCAGTGGATGTCATTGCAATTGGACTTGTGACTGGGCATATAATAGTGCATAATATTAAGTTTGATGAAACACTGATGAAATTTCAACAGGATTGGGGGCCCATAACTGCAATATCATTTCGTACAGGTAAATTTCAGTCTTTATTAAATAATAATAAAAGGAATTGCAAAAAGTTCAAGTAATCCAGAATGTCTCCCATGTTATGAATTAAAAACACAAACAGAAGACAGTATTAATGTTTGTTTGCTAGCTTAATAACTCTTATGCTTCTTCTAATTTTCCTCTTTTTTTGTTGTTGGCTTTGTATGCTCGTTTTGGTTGGCTTTGACTCCTGCAAGAAATAATCCCTGCAGTTTTCTTGGCAGATTTCAAAATGGTTTAGTCTTGTACTTTTCTTAGGCTTGAGAGAAAATGGCTGGCCGAAGGTCATTTAGTTGGCTTCATGCCTAAAGTGGGATTAGAACTCACAGCCTTCCAGTTTCTATCCTGAGGCCTTAATCATTATATCAAACTGACTCTCAGCCATAGAGTAGTGTAATTTTGTGAATTTGAATATAGCTGTTTAAAACATGTTTTAAAGCGCCTTGACTTTCTTCTCCAATAGTAACACTTAAAAAGGAATATTTATGTTTCCCCTCCCCCCCAATTTTTTTGGATCAGATGGGCATCCAGTTCTGGCTGCTGGAAGTCCTGTTGGGCATATTGGGTTATGGGACCTGGAGGAAAAGAAGCTTTTGGGCCAGATGCGAGATGCGCATTCTACAGCAATTTCGGGTATGTCATTTGTCCAAGGAGAGCCACTTCTCATTACTAATGGTGCAGATAATGCTATAAGGGTAAGTTATGTCGGTTTACCTAAGCTTTCTCCAAAAATGTTTATGTGCATTTCATCTAGGATTAATGTTCTTTATT